ATAATGTAATAAAAGATACTAATTTTGGAAGGAGTACTAACTTAAAATTTTATTATAACTGCTTCTAAACTTTTTTACATTATATGTGACTTTGAAAGGAAACACAGAAATTATTAATTCACTTAGAATATTTCAAATATGAATACATTCTTATTAAGAGAAGCAAATGTGGATGAGTACTTGATCTGAACTTGAAAATGAAACAGGCCATGTTCTCACTTATAATCTAGTAAGAAAGACGAAACTTAGAGCTCGAGAGAATAAATTATAAACTAATGTATGCATAAAGGCTAGAGGTAGTTTCAAAAAATGTGCTGAGATATTGAAAACTGCAAGATATTAATCTGTACAAACTTCCTTTGGGATGGCACTTGAAACAAGATGAAAACAAAGTGAGGAATGAGGGGAATTAAAATCGAGAGAGTGCTCCATTCATGTGAGCACCTTGGTCTTTGGGTAAGATTTCCCTTAGCAAACCAAATCCTTTATTCACAAAAAATGGAAGGATATTACTTGAGAGAGAAATCCTTCCTTTGGAGGATATCAGTTTTTTATCAAGAGTCTATAAACTTTAGGAAATAAGCTAATCATTAACCTGGAAACTTGATAATATAGAAGAATTTTAAACCTTCTTTTCTGATTGTCGAAGCAGTCAGGCATGAGGAGATGGTGGCAGTGCGCAACAATTTAGAGCTTAATTTTAAAAATGACAAGGATACAATGTTTCTTAGATAGATATCTTTCTAATCTCCCAATTTTGAGACTTGGGTTGTCATCCACCCCAAGGAACATCAGCCACCACCAGAAAAGGTATCTGTGACCCCAAATAAAATACGTGTGAAGACAGAAAAGATTGGGGGAATAGTACCTGGCTCAGCAGAGTAGAGAAAGGTGAATCCACTGTCTGCACAGGGTGTACATATATGCAGAACAAACTGATCTGCTCTCAGTTCCAGAAATACTTGAGAGACAGAAGTAGAACACAGGGCAGAAACCAAAATTACAGACTCCATCTCCACCCCTTGGAGCCAGATGGCTACTCCTCCTCCCCACGGAATACTAGGGCCTTCCTCTCTGAAGAGGTTAAGCCAGAGACCTCTGGCTACAGTAGGGGCGCAGAAGGTAGAATAGAGGGATTAAGAGAAAGTCTGCATTCTGAAAGGTGAGATTCTCACTCTATTTCCACCCACCTCTGAGACCATAGACAGTCCACGTTTTACCCAAGAGCAGGTTGCACACTAGAGGATCCTCCTCATGGAAAGCAGAGTGGTCACAGTGAGAAGAAAGATGGTGATACTTGGGCAGTCTCCCATCGGAAAAGATGGCTTGCTACTCAACCACCCACTAATCTGGAGAAAATTAATGTACACAGTGCAAATATACTACTAGGATAGCAAGGACCAACATTTAAGTAGTTTTGATAATGTAAATACTGATATTAATTGAACCTCATCTGAAATACTGGTAATTACACTGAAAGCTAGAGAAAGAAGAAGAGGAAGGAGGCATGTAAAAGAAATTAATTTTCATCTACCATAATAAGTCAGTAGAAGTATCTTAATTAGTGGAACAAGAGCAAGTGGTCTGAACACATCTAGAAATATGGAAGTAAATATCAGAAAAAATAACTTTCAAAAATTTACATTATTTGTCACTGCTTAGCTTCATTGAGGGGTTACAGGACAAAAGGTTGCTGTTTTTCATTTTCAGGCCTTTCAGAGCTTATATTGACCAGGGTTACCCAGGGTTAACCAGAGAAACAGAAACAACAGTGATCTATCTATTGATTGATTGACTTAGGCCTTGACTGACCTAGATCTAGATCATTCAATAGAGAGAAAGAGGAGAAAAAGAGAAGAAAAAGAAAAAAGAAGGGAAGGAAGGAAGGAGGGAGGGAGGGAAGAAAGAAAGAAAGAGAAAGGAAAAGAAATTTATTTTAAGAAGTTGGCTTCTGTAATTGTGGACGGTTGGGGAGTCTGAGGAGCCCAGGAGGAGTGTGGTTCAAGTGTAAAAGCAGTCTTCTGGCAGGACCCTTCTTGCTTAGGGGAGGTCAGCCTTTGTTCTATTAAGGCCTTCAACTGACTGAAGGAGGCCTGTCCACATTGTGGAATATAATCTGCTTTACCCAAATCCACCAATTTAAATGTTAATCTCATCCACAAAACACCTTCACAGAAACATCCAGAATAGTGTTTGGCCAAATATCTGGGCACTGTGGCCCAGCCAAATTGACACATAAAATTAACTATCACAGAACTATTTGATATTCAACCATATGCCATTAAATTGGCTATGTTAGCTAAAAGAAACTGTCAAAGAAATTAGGCCTGGGACTGCTTCTTTAACAGCTTGGTGGCTGGCCTATAGTAAGCACTCGGTAAATATTTGTTCAGTGAGTGATGGTCTTTTTAAAAATAATTGATCATTATAATTTTTGAATTGTTCCTTAGAGAACGCATTTCTATCAGAGTATGTTTTTTGGGGGGTATTTTTTTTTTGTTTTATTTTTTGTGGAGTTTTTTGTCTAACACTTGAATCCCTACTGGACACTTTGAAGTTTCTGAATATTTTCTTTTACATAAAATAATTTTATTATGCCGACATTTAAGATAGAGTTATACAATAAAAAATATGCTCTAGTTATAAGAACTTTTAATATCCATTATTTCTGTGTTTTAACCTTTCTAGATCTGAAATAGCTCTGCTGAGTCAAGAAAAAATGTATACAGATAATAAACTGGAGAAGTTACAGAGGAGAAATAATGAATTGGAGGAACAGTGTGTCCAGCATGGGAAAGTACATGAGACAATGAAGGAGAGGTAATAAAGCTTTGCTGATCAACTGATAGGCCATATATTGAGTGTGGTTGATTCACAGAGGAGAATTGCTGCAGAATAAATAGAAATTAGGATCATTATGGTACTCCAAGAATATGCTCAAAATCTAATGCTTTTGTGTATGTATGCATCCTCATTATAGGTGGTTCTGATTACCTGCAGAGAGGAGAGCACATTCTATTTTTACTAAAGACATAGAATTAGATTTGACATGGAATAGGGGAGGAAAACTTTTAATCTACTTTTAAGGTGTAGGTTGGCAATATTGTAGTATAGAATTTCAATTTTTTTTTCTTCTGTGAACTAGGCTTTACATGCTTTTTGTACAGCAGGCCTAAAGGATTAAATATTTCATCAGAGCTTACTAAAGCCAAGATTTGACTCCCAACCCTTTGCCTCTCTCGTGGTTACTTGGAGCAAGTCACCCAGCCTCTGTGAGCATGTTCCTTCACTCATATACCAGTGCTGATAATGCTCATTTTGATAGAAAGGTCAAGTAAAAGCCCCTGCCAAATATCATCTCCTAAATAATAGCCACCTACTAAATGTCATTAGCAACTATAACTTGTTTCTCTAGATTTAAAAAACTCAATGAAAGAGACTAAGAGCGTGCTCAAAGTTGCAGAGGGATTGAATGGTAAAATTCAAGCCTGAATCCTGATCTTTTGACTTCAAATTCTTCTTGTGCAGTGTTGGGGGATTTCTTTTTGGTAGTAAACAGAGCTCCTGATCATGTTTTGTGACTGTGCCATTTCTAATGTTTCCATGATAATGGATTCTCAAAGAATAAAGAGCTGAGTATTCTGTGGCCAACAGTGAATTGCTTTTTGTAGACTAAGACTTCAGCACAGCATGGAGTGCACAACAACAGCAACCAGCCTTCCAGTGGAGGTGGTTTCCGTGGCTTCCGGCATCCCATCTCCATTCCATCTCCAGCCTTCTGTCTCAGAAACAGTTATTGATATAACTGAGGGAAAATTAAAATGTATATAGACTCCTTTTATTCTTTTAATTTAAAATAAACAGCATTAGAGGGCTGGAGAGTGCTATATATTTATAACTTTAATTACTTTCTCTATTGCATAGATAAAAAGCAGAAAGTAGTACTGTTTTTTAGCTACTAAAATATTATATCATTCATTCACTTGTTGAAATACTTACTTAAACTCAGCCACTGTTCTAGATCAGGGTTTGGCAAATTTTTTTCTGTAAAACTCAAGAAAGTAAATATTTTAGGCTTTGCAGGCTGGACATGGTCTCTGAGATAGTCTTCTTTGTTTGGTTTTGTGTTTTTGGCCCTTTGAAAAAAGAAAGACCATTCTCAGCTAGAGAGCCAACAAAACAAGAGAGAAGATTTTGCCCAAGGGCCTAGTTTGGTCCTGTTCTACAGAACCAAGGTATCTCCCACCCCATACTCAGCTCAAACCCAGGGCATTCTACCACTGAGCTACCTCCATGGCCCTTTTTAAATTTTTTTTTAAATCTTGAGACAGGGTCACTCCAAGTTGCCCAGGGAAAACTCAGAATTGCTGCCCTCTTGTCTCAGACTCCCTGAGTGCTAGGATTATAGTCATATGCCATTGTGCCTGGCTTCTGTTTTATTTTCATGTTGGTGTATTCCATTAGAGTTGGCAAAAACCACACCTGCCTTATCAAATCTGGAGAGTAACTGTTATTACAGTATTAGGTCCATTTCCAAAAGAAGAACTAAGGCTTGGAAAAATAAACTTGCCAATTGAAGGTGAAAGTGCAAATTATTAACTCATTCCTTAACAGATATTTATTGATTGCTACGATGTGTCATGTTCTCTACCTGAGGAAATAAAATAGCAGAGTAGCTACTATCATTCCCACTCTGATGGAGCTTACATCTTTATAGGGAAGAGGGATATTGACAAAAGAATTTCATCAATGTCTAATTAATTACAATTATGACCACTTCTGTAAAAAAGAAATATATTTTGTGGTACAAGCACATTTAATAAGGGGACTTGTCCTGATTAGGGAAAGTTTCAGTGAGAAAATAACACTTAAATCTGCACATGATGGTGTGGGGATTATTAGCCTTTTACAGCAGGAATTGATAAACTGCTTTGGCTGACAGCCCATTCTTTTATGGCCTAGGGACATAGTTTTCTCATTCATGGCTCCTTTTATGCCTCGGTGTCAGGTTTGAGTAGTTAAGCCAGTGGCTGTGGATTCTTTGTCTCCAAAGCCTATGTGTTTACTATCTGTCCTGCTCCTAGAAAAGTTTGCCAGCTCCTCTAGCAGAGGAAGGAAAACCTTAAAATGGAAGGTTCTGAGGTAGGAAACCATAGTAGTTTTGAGGAAGATGAAGAATTGTGTGTTTAACATAAAGAATAAGGGAGAGAGAGGCGTGTGAGGAAGGGAGGGAGGCAAGAGCCAGACCTACAGGCATTTATTACAGACCTTTAATTTTATCCTGTTACCAATGATAAGAAATAAACATATTTTTAAAAAACAGAGGAGAATGATGTAATGAGATTTACATTTTAAAAATATCCCAAGAGTAGATAATGAATGGGAGCAGAGCCATAGTGTTTACCCAAGACCAGTTAGGTGGTGGGGATGGCTTGGGCTGGAGTGATAATAATTACGTAGGACATAGCATCGACAGGACTTAATTGATTGGCTGTTGGTGTTGGGTAGCGCACGTCAAGGATGGCAGCATGTTTCTGGCACGAGCAGTGAGTGCCTCACAGTGTTAGTTATTGAGAACTAGAAAACATTCCAAAGGAGCAGTTTTGTGGTTGAGATCACCTGGGATGGGATGAGACAAGTGTTACACTTCAGCCATGTTGAATTTAGTATTCAAATGCATTGTTCAAGTGAATAAGTTGAATAAGCAGGCGGACATAAGGGGCTGAATTCAGGAGAGATCCCTGGGCTAGAGATAGAATGAGGTCACAAGAAAGAAGCTTATTGATCCTAACACTTGTAAAGGTAAAACCGGAAGGAGAGCTTGAGAAAAAGCAACCTGAGACTTAAGTAGATAAGAGACCCTATTGTCACATAAGCCAAAGGATGAAGCTGCTCTGGGAAAGAGGAAGTGATCAAGCAAATGCCGCTGAGTGATTAAACAAGGCTGAAAAGTATCTATTGGGCTTGGTGACAGGTGCATCACTGGTTACATTAACAAAAGCAGTTTTAGTTGAAGAGTGGGTGCCGACACCAGATTAGAGTGGATTAAAAAGTGAGTGTGAGTTGAAAATCGGAAGTAGCAAGTTGAAATCACTTTTTCATGGGATTTGGTTTATAAGGGAAAACAGAAAGTGAGAGAGGGACTAGTGGTGGGGCCATGTATTGAGAAAGCCATGTCTGATTGGAGAACTTTTTATGTTAGAGTAGATAGATTGTAAAGATCATGAAAATTGTATAAGTCAAGAAAGTTAAATGTTTCAGCTGGTAGCTTGGAACCTCTGGTGTCTACATAGGCAGTCTAGGGAATTCATGTTCAAAATCGCATAGCTTTTTTTTTTCTATCTCTATTTTAAAATAAGTATTGATTCACATACTTCCCCCTGGAAAGTAGAACTATGTGTGCAAGACCCAGGGTCAGTGACCCTGTGTTGAACACTGTCATTCTCTCATCTGGTCATGTACTGTGCACCAACCCCAGCAGTCCTGGGTGTTCTGTCAGTTACATAGTTCTTTTCCTTTTGTACAGTAATGCATTCTTTAAATTATATACATAAAACCACTGTCTAACAGCACGAAGCTTCTGATAGAAATATAACAAGCTAGTAATGAATTTAAATTTGATAATTCTTCTAAATTAGCCTCAGAATGATCTTTACCAAACGCTCATATTTTGTTTTTCTAATGGAAATTTTATTCTTCAAAAGCTGATGTTAAAAATATGGTTTATAGTATTGATTTTTATGCAATTTGACATTTTAATTTTGAGGAATTAAGGCTATTCATTATTTTTCAAAGAAGTAGTTAAAAATAGAAGCCTGAAATCTTAGCCTGTTTTCCATCACTTAAAAACAAAGAGTACCAGTTGACTTATACATTCAAAACTCAAAAATTCCAAAAATTGGTAGGGGAAAGGAAAGAAGGGAAAAGAAAAAATATGAGGAAAATTCCAAAAAAAGTCATAAAGCTATTTTTGTTTTGATTCTATAATATGGATTTAATTTCAAATCTACATTTTAGAATATCTTTTGATGCTAAAACATATTTATGTTATTGGCCAATTGTGCTTTTTCTTGCATAATTAATATATTAAGGATTTAATTTATGTAAATGAAATAGTGGCACTACTTGTTAAATAAGGAAATTACTTTCAAAATAAATTTTAAATAATTTTTTCACTTACACTTAAATAAGATGTTTCTACTTAAAACATTTCTCTTTATCACATCATGCAACAATAATGAAATGATTTCATAAATACCAACGGGAGTTCATAAAACTCGGTTTCTATGGAGAGAGTTTTGGAGTCAACAGAAATTTGGAGATGCTGAGGTACAGAAAGACAATGCTACAGGTTCCTGAGCACAGAGGTGGATCGGGTCAGCCAGGATTGAGCATGGTGAAAGAGAACATGTGTTGATAAATGCAAGTTTGTGCATATGGTGATGGTGAGTTGAGCTGAGGCCAAAATTAGTTTATGCTGTGTTTACTGGGCATCTATTTTGTACCAGCTCGGCCAGGAGATTCAAAGTAAGGATTCAAATATGCCTCACTCTTATTGTTATAGATGCTGTGTCTACTTCAGCTGGTATGGTAAGCAGCTTTCTATCGGTACTGAAAATACTTGAGATCCTCAGCTTACAAAGAGAAAAGATCTGTTCTGGCTCCGATTTAAAGGCCGTAGTGCATGAGCAGTCAGCCTGTGGCAGCACATCAAAGTGAAAATACATGGCAGAACAAAACCACTCACCTGTGGTAGTGGCTGGGAAATGATAAAAAGAGAAGAGGCTAGGGATCCACTGGCTCCGTCACGGTGTCCCCAC